TCTCAGGCCCTGCCAACTTACCCTTCTAGGATAGGTAACCTCATGGCGAGACATAAAGTAACATAGTTCTCCAGAAAAACTGAAAACTTGGGCGGTGTTCACCTGCCTTCCATTGTCTTGGTGCCCCCTCCCCTTCCTGTTTCTTGCCTCTTGAACTCTTCTTTTCCGTGTGTGTTCAGTTCCACCTTCTACCTGTTTTTGTAGTGACACTGGTCTCTCTAGGTACATCTGTGGCATAACTACACCTCCTTCCTTGGTGAATTTCTTAGAACTGTCACAGATTTTTCATGTGAGTTTCCTGGGGACTGATCTCACACTTGGAATCACATGGGATCTTGATGCTCCCAGCCCTCTGGGCTCAACAGGGACTGAAGGTGTCTAAGGAAGGGGGAACTCCTTAATAAAGGGACTGTGGGCCCCTCGGAGTGAATGTGGTAGCTTGGAGAGTGGACAGAGTGGTTGAGGCATCCTTCGACCTGGATCTAACGGAAGGCATGGTTTGGAATTTCCATCTCGCCCAGCCCAGCGCCCCTGCCTTTCTGGGGACTTAGAACTCCACAGAAGGAACGTCCACTTGCACAGACCTGGCTGTCCCATCCCTGGACGGGAAGATTCCACCAGGTAGCACACCTTGGAGCACAGTGTACAAGGAGCAGCTGAGGCATCTGGACTTGGAATTCTCTGGGAGGCAGAAACTGCTTCTCCATCCTCCACCTCCCAGTGGGACACCTTTGTTCCACGTACAGTGGGATATCCCACACTGGCCTGGCCAGTGCTTGTTGGCCTTGAACCAGAAGAAAGGCCCGTCTCTGTGCTGGTCCTTCTGAGCTGGCTCTTGACTTTGTAATAAAAATTGTGGAGGCAGGTTGTGGGTCTTTACTACCTGGGATAAGGGAATGGCAACTGCAGTGTGTCTGGAGACACAGGGGCACTGAGGCCACATGGCATTGTGTGACTACCTTCTCTCCTTTTCACTTTCAGTGGCTCTGAGAAACTGGTGACTTGGCCTGACCGGTTTCCTACTGTCTCCACAGCCCCACAATGAAGGGCAGGGTCCTGGGCCAGGGAAGGAGCGCCCTCTAGTGAAGTCAAGTGAACGCAATAAACTGCATTAGACAGTCTGCGACCTGGTACAGAATTTTGGTGCCTGGCTGTGGTTTAAAACAGGTGGATTATCAAGAAGAACTTGGGAATATTTTCACGACATGCCAGTGTACTCCAGGTATGACCAATTTAAGGGAAGCCAAGCTCAAAGACCAAGTCGGTAGGAGAGTTGGTTTTATGGTAAGCTTTCCTGCTGCAGTGTTTGCTTTCTCCCGCCCTAATGAATTTTTTGGGGCTTAATTTGCAAATTTGTATTTACACCCGTTTTTTTTAAGCACGTTAGTTGAATAAAGTTTTATTTAGAAACTCATTCTTGGCTGTAAGAATGACCCTTGTTTATGGTTCCAGGTCAGAGTTCACACTGCTCCAGGGCCATTGTTGGGCTGGCTGCATCACAAACATCTGGGGGTGTGTGGGGGGGTGCGGGGTCTGCCTACCCCAGACCCCCTGAATCAGAATACCCAGAGATGCCTGGGTACGGGGCCTGGATGAACTGTGGAACCGCAAAAGAAAGCTTTTCTCTTAATCAAAGATGAGTAGCATTTAAATACACATACTGAACCAGTTCATATGTGAAGAACAAAACTTGGGAATTCCAAAATAAAATCTTCCTGTTTATATCCTACCTTAATTCCAGACACCATTTGAGGAGACTGACAGGAAGAAAACGAAGGCCCCTGGCTGGTGCCATTTGTGCCAAG